CGTGTTAGCTAGATGGAAGTGTACTGTCGTGCTGACCTACATGTCATTTGTTCGAATCCCCGGTGCAGCACATCTTTTTAATTTGGAATTGTGTAAACATTTCAGTTTTTTTTTTTTTACTTCTAAAAACTCTGGTCTCACACTAGAAGAATGTAAGGATTCTTCTTTCAAACGTACGTAGTATAAATTTAAACTTTGTCTCCTAAGTTTAATTAATACTCCCTATGTCCCTAATAACTTTGCCAAGTTTGACCGTCACGGGGATTAATAAAGTAAAAACTGAGTGGTTGAGTTTTGTGCAGAGGAGAGAGAATTAACTGAAACCACAAATTCTTTACTTAAAGCAAAAGATTTTATTTTATATTTGAAAATAAATTTTGTTAAATAACATACTCCGTCCATCTCTCATAACTTTGCTAACTTTCTTTTTTTTATTGTCCCAAAACCTTTGTCACTTTCCATTTTAATTGATCAATTTGTGCTTCCTATTATTTCTCTCTCATTTGTACAAATCTCTACCACACAGTTTTTACTTTATTATTCTGTATGCCGGTCAAACTTGACAAACATTTAAGAGATGAAGGGAGTACTATTTTACTACATTTTGACATTTTTTTGCAATATACGTTGTTTAATCAAATTTTGGCCTCACCTGATTGACAATGCTAGATCCGCCCCTGGGTGTGCGTATCATACTTGGCGGGCGGGTCTACCCGACCCGATTCCTAGACCCATTGGGTCTGGGTCTGGGTCCAAATTTTCAGACCCGCCGGGTAAACGGGTCAGGTCCGGGTCCATTATTAACTTAGCGGGTTCGAGTCTGAAACACTACGTTCCGACGCGGACCCGACCCATTGACAGGCCTAATTCCAGCAAACCAGGAATGAATATTCTATTATATACATTTTGTACCCATTTTACATATTCGTCCATGTACACAAATGATTTATCTAAAAATTGTTTGTGTATAGACAATTTGTTCATTTTTTGGATAAATTGTTTATGTACACCAAGGTGTACAAACCGTAGACAAGTGTACTCGTCTGCACGAGTAGCTCAACTGGTAAAGCGGTGGAAAAGTTGAGAATGACCAAGGATCGAAACTCATAGCTTGGGTAGGTCACAATTCCTTTGTGCTAGAATGGGTCTCTAGTGCACACGGATATAAGGTTTACTATTATTAAGATCGATTGAGTCACCGTGATTTACATTCTTCAATATGCCCTGTTGTACCAGGGGCATGAGGCCTTGAAGTTGGGGGATTCAACCTTGTAATAGAACTAGATTCTTGACCGTGCGATGCCCTGAACAAGATTAAGTAAAATTTATATTACTCCGGTATATCATTTGTAATAAATTAGTTAATGAAAGCTTTTATGTAAATAAAATTAGTAAATGTATTAAAGAAAATAAGAATTTATATAAAATAAAAAGTTATTATTAATGGGATTTCAAAGCTGTTGCAGGAAATCTTGGAAGAAGATGAACTGTTTGATTAAAGGTTTGAAACACATCTTTGTAAATAACATTAATAGGGTGGTACATTTATTCTCATCTTCACTACGTACAAATAAATCTTTTCAAACTTTTACCACTTGTAAGTCTGAAGACATAACTCATAATCCCTCCTTCCCGCAAAATAGTTCCCGATTTTCTTTTTTGGGACGTCCCAAAAAAATAGTTTTCATTTCCCTTTTTAGAAAATATTATGTGACTCACATTCATTTACCTTTTTTTTACACAACCACAACCATACATTTCCGCTCTATTCTCACTTTCTTAAACTCCGATCCCAATCAATGCGGGAACTATTTTATGAGATGGAGGGAGTAACATGCATTGTAATATAATTGTCTAAACTGATTTAACTTTGTATAATAAGTCATAAGCGCATCTTCACCTCATGTATCTGTTAACTAAATCAAAAGTGCATTTCCTCCGTTCATAAGTGCAACATGTTTAACTTTATATTATTCACATATTCTACTTTGACTACGTTTTATTAATAAATTATTTTTATAAAGATATTGTCAAATTCTCATTTGAAAGCAAATATTTTTATTAATTAATTTTACTAATAATTATGTGAATACAAAAACCTTACACTTTACACTATTGTAAAGTAATTGTTAAACTTTACACAACTCACATTATTATAATAAGCCATAAGCACGTAATAGTTAATTATTTTAAAACTTTTTTTATTAACTTCCCTTTTGAAGTAATTAATTATGGACTATTCTTTTTTACTATTTCTATATCCTATATACAAATTCACATTTGGGGGATCCATATAGAAAAAACACTTAATATACGTAGTACATAAATCATATTCAAGGTGATTTCTACAACATAACTATCACTGAACTTTAATACTCCATCTATCCCGAAAAGGTTGGCCAAATTTCCTTTTTTGGATGTCCCAAAAAGATTTGTCATTTCCATTTAAGGAAGGAATATGTGGCTCAAAATGATTCTCTTTCCTCTGCACAAACTTCAACCACACAGTTTTTACTTTATTAATCCACGTGAAAGTCAACTTTGGTCAACCCCTTCAGAACGGAGGGAGTACATCATATGAGAAACAAATCAAATTCAAAGTGCACCATATAACCGCTGAACTATCACCCTTAGTTGTTTAATTAACTTGCTAGTCATTTTCTACAACTGTTGAACTACACAAGCAAAACCAGTAGGCAACAACAGAGATAAGAAAATGAGACTAAATGACTATTCACTACACTAGAGAGATTTATAGACAAGATCGCCGAGCAAAAAGAGAAATAGAGAAGAAGACTCGCTCAGCTCATTTAGGTCAGCTCAGCAATTCAGTGCTCACTGATAGGCGGTGCCGTTGGTCAACCAATGGTCTGTACTCGACTGCTCGCCTACTCGGTACTCAACAGAATCGTCTCCAGAAGGTGGAAACTGATATTGCGGTCGGTTGAGAACTGGAGATAGAAATTGGAACTTGGGAATTGCAGTAATTGCCTCCGATTAATTACCTATTGGTCGCATTCCCTCGATGCAACTTTTCCAATTCTAATAATTCATACATAGTATTACTAAATAGCTTCTTCTTTTTTGACAAACACTTCGAACACAGCAAGCTAATTAAGTACATATGGCGTTAGTGTTTTTCTTTTGTCTGAAAAAACACAAATGCATAATTTCCCATTAAACTGCATACTTTGGTGCTATTCACACGAACCGAATATATATAGATTAGTTAAACTGTCCAATTTTTAAATGACTTAAACATATATAATCATTTATGAAATCAACAAATAGTTATGAGCAGTAGCTTTGACAAAAATAAAAATAGTAGCACAAAAGTATTTACAACATAACACTCCTCGCCCAAATTACCTTCTCAAGATCAAACCAATAGCAAGCATTATTCAATGTTTCTTTTCAGATAAGTTAATAACGTTAACCGAAGGATTTACTTTAATTCAAATCACAAAAAGTTCAAACCTGTCAAGGTGAGTAGTGGATCTTGTTGAAAGCTCCAGCCAACATAAGCTACCTCTAGCCTCCCCCTCCTCGGAACTACCGTCATTCCTTTGACTTTGTTGGTTCCCCTACGCATCATTGATTCTGGTACAATATATCTACTGCTCACCGTCGCTAATAGGTTCAATAGGAAGACATATTGACAGAGAGCTGTAGACAACTAGACATCACTCCCTCTCACACTATAGATCTTATGCAATAATGTTAAACTTCAAAAACATCTTTAGATAAAAATGACACATCTAATAGAAACACAGGTAGAATAAGATTCCATTTAGAAATATTTCCTTTACAGTTCTTGAATTATTGAAGTGCTGAAATATAAAGTACGTAGTATAATTTTGAAGAAATACTTATATCTATGTTTCTTTTGTATTTGAGTTATCCATTCACCATAATCTATGTATAAACTACAAATATGGGTTTAGCTCCGTATAGCCATAAATTGGAAGTCAACCCAATACTATTTATACAAGAAAATCCGAATTTTAAAAAGTAACCTAATCAAAATAAACTCATCATTTTGACTAATAAAAGTAGGTTACTAAATGAGCTCCCCATAAACATTATTTCAAATAGACAACTATGAAACTAAACATGAGTGTGAAAATGAGATTAACCTATACATTATAAGGATGTTTTCGTGATATAGAGTATATATTATTAAAAATTTAAGTTATACATAGTTAAAAAATTATTCCGTCCGTACCTTGACACCATAAGTCCCTAACCGGAAGAAATCTTATTTATCTTCTTCTTCTTGAAGCCCGCAAGCTGTAGGTCGCTAGTCCACCACTTGTCTCGCCGGACTCCACCTCCTCATTGGTCACCACCATCTTTTCAGGTCAAAGGTCGACTGGGGGTTTATGGTCCTCCATTGATGTCGATGCAGTATATTTGACACTTCTAGCGGTTGATCATCCGATGCTTCACCTCATCCACGCCAAGTCGCAGCGTGGAATCCAGAAGAGTAGCTGTAGTTCCTGCCAGATGCCGTGAGGTCCCACAACATTTTGGGACTCATAATTTGAAGTTGTTACAAAATTTTGGATTTATCATTCATTTCAACACACTATTTCATCATCTTCTCGTCATATCGTCAATGATTCATATCCTCTTTCATTATTCATAATCTCACCCACTTTACATACACATGCCAACAAACCAGGAATAAATATTCTATTATATACATTTTGTACCCATTTTACATATTCGTCCATGTACACATATAATTTATCTAGAAATTGTTTATGTGTATAGATAATTTGTTCATTTTTTGGATAAATTGTTTGTGTACACCAAGTTGTACAAACTATAGACAAGTGTACTCATCCTCACGGGTAGTTCAACCGGTAAGTATACTCATCCGCATGGGTAGTTCAACTCGTAAAGTCGTGAAAAAGTTGGAGAATTAACAAGGTAGTTTGGACGAGAAGTGTTATGTTTTAAATACTTTTGTGCTAATTTGTAGTTTGAGAAGGTAGTTTGCAGTGATGTGAAGGTTACAATTCGGCAATTCCTTTGTGTGCCTCTATTGTAGTGTGACGTAGAGCCTTGAAGCTTGGGGATTCAACCTTGTAAAAGAATGCAGTGTCCTCAAAACCCGTCTCAATTTGGAATCCGTCGTCAAATCTTTCACTGTGGCGCTGACCATGTAAAAGAAGTTCTTTATTCTCACCTCTTCTAAATCTGGAAATGGAGTCCCAAATCTTTGGCGACCTCTCATTCAAATCACTTCATGTAAACGTCAAACACACCGCTCGCCGTTTCAAATTCCCACCGGGAAATAGTTCCCGGCGAATAGACCCGTGCCACCTCAGCTTCTCCGTTCGATGTGGGCCGAGTCCGACCGAGAATGTTGAAAAACTCAGCACGACAAAGAGACGAGATGTGCTCGTCACATCTTTGCTCTTCCTTGGCGCCAGTGTGATCCGGACGGCAGTGTCGAGAGCCGACGACAATCCGCCGGAGAGCAACATGACAGGGTCGGAGGTTCCAAGTCCGATGCCAGCTCAAGTAGATAAGGCGGCAGAGGAGGAGAAGAAGAAAGAGGAGGTTGTAAATTCGAGGATTTACGACGCGACCGCAATCGGAGAACCGTTGGCGGTGGGGAAGGACAAGAGTAGAGTGTGGGAAAAGCTTATGAATAGTCGGATTGTGTATTTAGGAGAAGCGGAACAAGTTCCTACTCGGGACGACAAGGAATCGGAGCTAGATATTTTGAAGAGTTTGAGGAAGAGATGCGAAGAGGCACAAAGACCTATTTCCCTGGCTTTGGAAGCATTTCCTTCGGATTTACAGCCACAACTCAATGAATACATGGCCAAAAGGTACCATTTTTCTTTCTCACATTTTATTGAGGTTTTATTAATGGTGCGCCTCATAACTTTTTCCTTTTATACTTAAACTAGTACTTTGATAAGACTAATAGTCAGTTTGGAGAGAATGAGCATTAGTAAACTTAAATTTAGTAAAAGCTGGATGAACTCTAAGTGAATCTAGTTTAACCTTAAAGGGCAGCCCGGCAAGGTACAGGTGCGGGGAAGGGTCCCTAAGACTTGAACCCGTGAACACTAAGTGTACAAGGAGCAAGCCTTCTCCTTGACAAGAGGCCGCTCTCAAGACTTGAACCCGTGACCTCTCGCTCCCACAACAACACCTTAACGGGTGCACCAAGGGGCCAAGGCTCCCCTTCTTGTTTAACCTAGATTTATATAAAAATAATATTTGGATAATTATTGGGTTCACCTGGATGAAAGTAGTAAAGTGCTGTTTGGTGAAGGTCAATGGAAGTGAACAAACTAAACTTACTTATAGGAAGAACCTGATCTCCAAAACCTCCAATGCAAAGCTTATTTGTAACTGGATTGTGGGTGGTTCTCAAAGGTGAACCCAAGTAATCCAAAATTTTAGGTTCTTCCCATACAATAATATACAAACAAGGTGAACCAAGAACTAAACTTGGTAGAAGCTTGGTTCAACACTAAACAAACGGACTATAAGAGTTGATAACAATACATGAATTTCAAGATTAGTGTGTTGCAACCTTTAAGAATGAAGCATCAACTCTTAAATCTGAGTACATCTATTTGCATTACTTGATTACTAGTATTTAGCATTTGTTAGTATTGAAATTTGTGTGTCATGGCAGTATTGATGAAGAAACCTTAAAGGCTTTTGTATCACATTGGCCACCTGAACGTTGGCAGGAGTATGAACCCATTCTATATTACTGCAACATCAATGGTGTACGGCTAATTGCCTGTGGTTTACCCCTTGAGGTACTAAGATGACTATCCAAAAATGTGGTCGGAGTGCATGAACCATAAAAAAACAGTTCCTGAAGTCGTATTTGTTGACTGGATTATTATAATCCAGTGTCTCTCAGGTTTTATTTAGCAATGCATATTTAGTTTTGTTTTTTTGATGAATTCTTTAACTAGGTTCAACGAAGAGTGCAAGCAGAAGGGATTCACGGACTTTCGAAGTCCGATTCTAAGAAGTATTCTCCTCCCGCCGGTTCGGGCTTCATCTCGGGCTTTACTCCAAGATCTTACAGATCTTCTATTAATATGAGTTCGCCACCTAACTACTCAACTCGGTTTGGATCACAATCGTATCTTTCTGCACAAGCAAGAGTTGTAGAGGAATACACAATGTCTCAGATCATATTGCAAACCATAGAAGATGATGGACCATCGGGCTTGCTTTTGGTTGTCACTGGTGGGACCCATGTTGCTTATGGATATAAGGGAACAGGGCTTCCCGCCAGGGTTTTTAGGAAGCTGCAACAGAAGAATCAAAGTGTGATATTACTTGATCCAGAAAGACAAGAGATTAGGAGGGAGGGAGAAGTTCCCATTGCTGATTTTTTATGGTACTCTGCAGCACAACCTTGTAGTAGGAACTGTTTTGATCGTGCTGAAATTGCCCGTGTGATGAATGCAGCTGGAAAAAGGAGAGATGCCTTACCCAAGGTTGGTATGATATATGGCTCGTTTGGTAGGGCTCAAAATGGCTGAATCTATTAGTTGCTTGAATGGTTGAATCCGGAGAATTATATATAGTCTATTCAAAAAAAATGCTACATACTATATAAATATATTCAAGAAAACTACTCCCCCCTATTTTCAGCTGATTAAGCTAGTGGAATAAGTTCGTGTTTTTTTAAAAAACTAGCTGATGAGCCCTGTTCCGCTTTTAATTTTCAAACTATCTTAAAATGTCATTCAGTCCATCTACATATTCAAACTGTTGTTAGGTACTCCTTCATCTCTATATTAATAGTAATAGCACTTTTTAAGGGATTTAAGAAAATGATAACCTGTGGTTGAGATTTGCGTAAGTGAGAGAAATAATATAAATCAGACTATCAGAGGTCGCTTTCCTTGAAAGAAAGTGATAGTTTAGAATGGACAATAAAGGAAAGTGAGAAGATTTTTTATGGATTGAAGGAGCTTATAACTAATGACACCTGAGTACATGTCAATTAAAATGGGACACAAGTCAGTTATGGAAGTATTACGTTGTATAACTTTAGTTGAGCTAGAGGTTGAGATAAGACCGTCAATGCATGAGTTGTAGAATGAGACTAAGTTCTTTATTGAAATTTAGAAGCAATTATGTAACACCAATTAATTGTCTTAGCAGTCTTATAATCCAGATCAGCTAGATTTTCATCAAAAACTAGCTTTTTTAACTTATTTGGTGGCATTGGCTGAATCTGTTGGGTAAACAAATTGGGTATAAGTTGTGTTTTTGTGCTGCAATCATGATTTTAATATCATCTTGTTTATATTATTTACTCTAAGTTTGTAAAAAGATTCATTTTCAGATAATTTAGTCCATTCTTCTACTTTTATCACAACTTATCTCTATAATCATATATATCGCATGTTTTATTATGGAAGTAAGCTTAGTCCTTTAGCAACCCATTTGCATGAATTGCATCATAAGTCATGCATGTCATTGATACTTTTACTTAAAGGGAGCTTTACTCTACCCTATAATTGAACCAATGCCATTTTTGTATTGACCAGGACCTCCAACAAGGACTAGATCTTGGACTAGTGTCACCTGAAGTGCTGCAAAACTTTTTTGATCTGGAGAAATATCCTTATATTTCCGAATTAACTCATGGTTTTCAGGTATATTCCCCCTATTTCAACATAAATATATTCCTCAGTAGTTCAATCAGTAAAATGTCTTGCATTCTTAGAAACTCTCTTTGCTCATACTACCAAAGGTTTTAAAGTAAAGTTGAGACTCATACTCCAGATCTTATACTGCCTCCGTCCCATTTTATGTGTCCTACTTTGGTTTTGCACAATTATTAATAAAGTAGTTAAAAAGGTAAAAGTTGTGGTTGAGATTTGAGTATAATAAAGTGAAATGTTGTAGACCACATATTTCTTTCCGAAAAAGGAAAGATGACACTTATTTTGGGACAACCCAAAAAGGAAGTAGGACAGGTAAAATGGGACGGAGGGAGTATGTTATTGGGCTAATTTTTAAAACGGTATTACAGTTAGGTTGTTATCATCTGACTCAGGTAGTGTGTGCTAAGACATTCCCATTGGCTACAATATAAAGATACAAACTCATTTATAAGAGTGTGGGCTACTTACTAGGTTTAATTTTTAGGACGAAATCTCAAATATTAACATTGATCCAGTTTAGTTTCAACCATGAGCATACAAACTTCAAGGTTGATCTTTTCCAACTGATTCACTATCTTTTAGAGTATTATAAGTCATTCTACTCCGACCAAAACATAAAGATACAAACTCGCATATAAGTCATTGTCAATTGACCTTTAATGCTAGACCCCCGAGTTTTAATTGGCTGGCAGGATTTTGTAGCAATGTGACGGGACCTGATATATTATCCAACATTGAGAATATACCCATATTTCACATGTCACTTTATTGATTAGAATCATTCTCCTGCTCTTACAAGGCTTCTTTAAATTTTAAATATGATCAGTCATCTTATTTTGATGCAGGGTTTTAGGGAGAGATTGTTAGCAGATCCTAAGTTTCTACACCGGTTAGCTATCGAAGAAGCTATATCTATAACAACCACACTCTTAGCACAATACCAGAAACGCAAGGAAAAATTCATGGAAGAGCTTGACTATGTTATAACAGATACTGTTAGGGGAACTGTTGTGGATTTCTTCACAGTGTGGCTCCCTGCCCCCACGATTTCTTTTCTACCAGCAGCCAATGACGTTAATCTGCCTGAAAGCTTTGAAGCATTGAAGGGTCTCTTGGGGACCATCCCGGACAATGCATTTCAGAAGAGTTTTGCAGGGAAGGATTGGGGATTGAGCCATAGAGTTGCATCCGTCATTATTGGCGGTCTGAAATTGGCAAGCGTAGGATTTATTTCGAGCATTGGGGCAGTGACATCTTCTAATATCTTATTTGGAGTACGTAGAGTAATAAATCCAACTCTTGCTAAGAGTCCACAGAATAAACGCTCTCCGTTGCTGAAAACAGCTCTTGTGTATGGGGGCTTTCTTGGAATATCAGCAAATTTGCGTTATCAGGTAATAAGAGTCTGATGTAAACATAGAAGAAAAGTTAAAGCCAAAAAGAATGAATAAATAGGGTTATAGCTTAGAGGATAGAACCAATGGCGAAGATGAAGTCATCAAAATAGGGAGTGTTTTTAGGCGAGAAAGTGAAAAAAGAGAAGCTTTTATTATTGTCATACATTTTTATATCTAGACCAAGTATATTACATACTTCTCGGAGAGTCAAATGTGCTCATGTGGCTTTGTAAGGAGATGACTTTATAAGGAGACCAAGTATATTACATACCATCCGATTTTATAGTAGGGATGATCCCACTATAAAAATTGGTGGTAATGATGGTACCACATGAGGAGATGACTTTGTAAGGAGTCATATATGATCTCTTAAAAAAAGGAGTCATATATGACTAAAGTAACTCTCAAGTATAGTACTCTGAAGGAGATAAGACAGGTATTTTAGGCTTAGTGTTCCTTTTGTGAAATGATAATTTTTTTGTTGTCTTTTGTTCCTCCATTTTGTTATTTTGCAGATAATTGCAGGAATAGTAGAGCACCGGATTTCGGACCAGTTCTCTGACCAGACATTATTTGTAAATATGCTGTCTTTTGTCGTTCGTACAATCAACTCATATTGGGGTACCCAGGTCAGATATGGCCGACTTTCATCACTGATATGCCTCTCTTATAGCTTCTTAAACATACCATATATATTGCACAAATTGCAAGATTAACCACAAATTCATTCATCTATTACTTTTAAAAGCAACCGAGTTGTTTAATATATAAAAAAGTTCAGAATATGTACATTAACCAATTCATAAATCGCTCAAGGTGAAAAACATTGCAATGGGCCAAAGATAATTAAATAATATAACAAAAACACCTTCAAACATCAATTTCATTCACATCACCATATTATTATACTCCATCCGGTCCTAAATAATCTTCATGGTTTGACTTTACGGTTTTTAAGAAAGTGGAACTTTTTGTTTTGACTTCCCCACCATACTCCTACAAAAAGTAAATAAAGTGTAGTGGGAGAGAAAAAGTAGGTGTAAAGTAGATAATAAAGTAAGGGTATAAGGGTAACTTTATATTAAAAACTTTCCAAAAATAGAAGTGTGCAGTTTATTTTGGACCTACCCAAACAGGAAAGTGTGAAGTTTGTTTAGGACCGGAGGGAGTATAACATTATGCAAGACCATGATCCCTCACATCAATAATCTTTGTTCTGTAGAGATTTATTATCAAATTAGATCTTACAAGAGATCTTGCAATAGTATTTTGTCCACCACTAGACCTTCTGTAATCTCATGATTTAGATATTGATCTCCAATACCAATAGATTTAGATATTGATCTCCAAGAATCAGCAGGTGCCCCACAAACAACCATTTGACTGTTTGATAAAATACAATTAAATACTATCCTCCGTTCCATAAAAGTTGCAACAGTTTGACTTTCACGTTTGCCAACGCGCAACTTTGACTGTAATTATATTTATTTACGTATTAGTAAACATTAAAAAAAGTTAATATATTGGAAATTTACATTAATACAAATTTATTAATATTTTATACATAATATTTTTATTATATATATTATTAGAAAATCGTAGTCAAAGTAAGGTGTGTGAATAGTGCAGAAATTCCAATGTTGCAACTTTTATGGAACGGAGGAAGTATTATAATCCCTCTCTCTTTGAACAGGTGACCTGTGTTCCTTATTGAGAATTTTTATTATTTGACTCAATAACATTTTTGGCAACTTCTACTTTTTCTCCTTCCTACTTTTCTTAGTTTTCTACTATTTTTCATGCTCAATAGGTGACCTGTTTCCTTCTCTTTCATGCTTTCTCTCTACCCATATTCATTTACCCTTACTATTTTTCATAAATATTCTCCACATAGGATATCATGATGATGGTAGCTAGGGTTTTGGAAGCATAGAATTGTTTTTTCTTTTATACCATGTGAGATATAATAATTGGTTTATTATGACCGAGTGCCTTCATGATCTATGTATATTTGGTGAAGGTATACGCTTATACATATTGTAAATTACATGGGCTGTACCTGGTCCTGGGCGTATAAATAAGTAAAGATGCATGTGTACAATTGGAGTAATTTTTTTTGAAGAGAATAAAGCTAATTATTATTAATGGAATCATGAGACAAAATATTTAAAATACATGATGGGTGAAAAGATAGCCAAAACATAGGCTCAGACAAATAAATGTCCACACTAAAAAAGAAAGCAGTGACATGGAATCCTCAATGACTAAACCAAACAAATGAAACAACGGTGATCCAGTGCCATCTCAAATGCCATCAACCACTTGCACCGAATCATATACTATTTGATATCAAAGCCTTTCTAAGCCTTCCCGAAAGCCCAAAGCTTCAGCTTCTCTAGGAAGAAAATTTTCCACCCAAGGCTTGGTACTGCCGGCCAAAAAATCACTGCTATCATTTCTGACCACCCAACCCAATCCTAGGCTACCGGCGTACAAATCAATAGCTGCATCAACATTAATTTTGAGATGTCCTCGTACTGGGCGCTGCCATAACTCCTCTTTTACCCCGCTCTGTTGCACCAGATAACTTCCAGATCTGTCTGGGCTTGTCTCCAATCCTCGATTTACTTTGCATTTGCAATATTTCTTATTGACAAATGACGATCTCATATAAAGTCTTTTTGTTATTGAAAAAGATACACACATATAAAGTTGTTATATAAAACAATAGTGTTCATTTTTTTGAACTAATTTTAAACACCCAAAATATAATTGCTAGATGGGCCGCTGGCCTTTTTTGTTTGTATATAAGCTTGGTTAAATCTGCTTGCATTTTTATCGTATGCCTAATTGTCCAGCTTCATTAATTAGACCTTTCGTGGATATTACAATCAAAATAATTCCGATCTCTACGCATTTCGGATCTTGGGTTTGTCTTGAAATTAATACAATTGCATTCGTCTTGTCATCCACAGCAATGGATAGACCTTGCACGATTTACAGGGCTGCAAGCACGAAAGGTTGAAGGTGACTCCCCAAATAATGCCGCAGTGGAATGTCAAACGACAGATGAAACTTACAACACTGATGATTCATAATTTCATCATACCAACAAGGCAACAATCAGTACTTCAGTTTATATCCCCGCGTTTCATTGCATACCGACTGCTTCTCCACACAGATGATACATGCACATATTTTTTGTGCCTACTAATCGTAAAGTAATTGTAAGTTAGTAAATTGTCCATAGAAAACTGTTTCATGAGCATTTTGTATAGAAGGAATTTGATGTTTTGGTTATCACTCAGCACTCAGCAGCCCTCGAAGTATATGGAAAAAGTCAATCAAACCCTTGAACTAAAACAACACTCGATCAACTCCATAAACTATATGAAATCAGTCAATTTTCTAATTTAACCAGTTTCTAATGGGTTAGCCGGTGACGGGTGACATGGCATCCACGTGTCATGGTTGTTATGTCTTTTTTGTTTCTTTCCTTTTCATTCTCCTTCCCCATTTTTCTTCCCGCCAACCTCTTCATATTATTTTTTCTTTGGCCCCACCTCCACCTATCTGCTTCCTCACATACATAATTCCTTCTTCCTCACAAACAGAAATCGTTTTCCCCTCTTTTTTGCCACTTAGACCTTCAAAGGCTCATAGAATCTCCGGCAACTGAGCTGCCTTCGCCTTCATCTCCGGTGGAAATAACTTACCAGATTAGTTTGCCCAGGAATCCGTGGTTAATAACCTCAAAGCATCCGACTCTTGTGATAGAGTCAAGCCTTGATGGATTTCAGGTCCATCGATTCTTCCTACCGGAAGTCGAGCTCCGGTGGTTCTTGAAGTAGCTTCTTCCGGGGGAACTCAGTTGGCGGACGAGTTTAATGACTCTAAGAGGGCTATGGAGGTCGTGGCAAAGTCGGAACGGCAACCAGAAGTATCGGAACGACGACCAGAGGTGATGTTGGATAGGGATGGATCGGTTCTGGTTCGGGCTTGGGTCCGGCCGGGCCTCGGTTCATGAAGGGGAGGCCCGGAACCGGCCCGGGTAACCCCCGGGTCCGGGCCGGGCCGAGCCGGGCCTCGGTTCTAATTTTTTTGTTTGGCTTTTCCTAGTTAACCCCCAACCCTCCCCCTCACCCCCAAACCAACCCTAACCACCTCAAATGGCCCAAAATACCCAGCCCAACCCAAAAACTTAAAAAAAAATTCAAAAAAAAAAAAAATTGGCCCGGTCCGGGTCTGAACCGGCCGAGCCGGGCCGAACCTGCCGGGCCGGTTCACCTTTTGAAGGGCCCCAGCCCGGACCGCCATCCCACCGGGCCGGGTGGCCCGAACCGGCCAACCAACCGGTTCACCGGGCCGGTCCGGACCCGCACAGTAGCGGGCCGGTCCGGTTCCGGGCCGGTTGGCCCGGCCCGAGTCCACCCCTAATGTTGGAATGGTGAAGGCGGAGGTGCCGGAAATGGTGGTAAGTGTAGATAGATCCCAGCGTGACGGCCATTTCTCCGAATCTTGAGAGTGAATTAAAGAGAACTGGAGCGGAATTATGAATGGAAAGAGGGGGGGGGGGGGGGATAAAGAAGAAGAAAGCAAGCGAGTACGTAGTGGTATGCTTGTGCCGAAGAAGAAAGAAGTGTGGAAAAAACAAAGGGAAAACGGGGATTTTACCGGACTGCCATGTTAGCAAAGTGACTAGCTAACCGGGAATCACCCGACCTGAATACAAATTTGACCGTTTTTATATAGTTCATGGACTCAATTCAGTGTTTTTTAGTTGGTGGGTTTAATTGACTTTTTCGTTATATTTTTGGGTCTTATTTGACATTTTTCTCATCTTGTTTTTAGATTTTGTACACAACAACGGTCAAGATATTTTTGGCACATTTTACTACGTATGAAATTTAACATTTTCTTCATAGCAACGTTGTTGACTTGTTCTTATGAATTAAGAACTTCAATTATTAAATAACATGTCGTTTTAAAGAGAAAAATGGCATGTTTAAGTTCATACAAATTGATAAAAAGATGTAAATTATACCGTAGGATCGATCCACCTTCCGCATGGTGTGTCGATCCTACTTTTCCAAAGTTACGTTGCTTTCTTTCCTTCCTTGAAGCTTCTTCCTTCCTTTTTCTTTTGTTATTCTTTCTTTATTTTTCTTTTCTTCAATTCTTCTCCATTTCCATCAAGTTAAAATATTAAAAATTTCATTGTAGTTTTACTTTTCCTTATCTGCAATTTAAATTATAATTGAATCTATTTTTTTATTCTTTATCAATACATAACAAAAAGTTTAATAATCTAAATAAAATAAGTACTTTTCATATTCATACACTATTTTTTGTAATATCTTTTTTATATTCATACATTTTTTGTAATATATTTTTATATGCATACACGTTTTTTATAATATATATTTTATCACTTTTATATATTTTTAGAAGTTTTTAAGACATTAAGTTTGTTTATTTTGATTCTAGCTTGGAGTTACATTTGATAATATACGAAGTTACATAATCTTATGCTCAAATTAAATGTTATTATGCGTGAGTTACAACTTGTTATGCGTGAGTCATAACTTCTTATGCACGAGTTAAATACTTTTATGAGCGAGTTACATTTAATTATGCGTGAGTTACATCTAAATAGTTGTGATATTTTACTTATCTTTATCTTTAACTAATTAAATTACAACTAAATTATTATTTTTTCTTTACCAATTTAATACAAAATTTTATTAAACCACATAAATAAGTACTTCAATTCCTCCATTCTTTTTTTGTTGCAACAGTCAATTTTGCACATTTGCCAATGCATGTCTTTGACCGTTAATATATCTTATCCTCTATTAGTAGAAAAATAGATTTTGAAAATGTGTAATGAGATGAATTGAACAATATTTTTTTTATAAAATAATTCTTATAAATAATAAATAAAATGTTGTTAACGTAGAACATGTGAAAAGTTTAAAATTCAACAGGTTGCAACTAAAAACGAATGAAGGATAGTATATTGTATTTCATAATCACAAAATAAAACCCTTTTATTGAATAAAAAAACTTTTTAAAATTGATTTTCCTTTGCAAACAAATGGTTTTTTGGGGAAAAATGATTTCTTTAAAATATTTTGTGGTCTTAATATTAAAAACAAAATATATTCACTATTTCGGTAAAATAAATAAGAAATTAGACTCCTTTTTTATTGTTTACATTGAAATCATTGTATTTGACAAGTTACACTTCGACTTGCCTGCACTAACATTTCTTATTAACGTGAATTACATTTTTTACACGCGAGTTAAATCATTCATGCTACTGGGACAAAAAGAAAAAACAGTATTGTACACGTGTGTACTGTTCACACGTGTACTGTTCACGTGATTTTTTATAAACATTGATTAAAACTATGTCGTTTTTGGGTTTGGAGCATGGTGGTCACTGTGAGATGATCCCACGGAATAACAACTGATAAAAAGAATAATTCTGTGAGCAAGCCCAAAATCCAAATGCCCAATTATTATCCGTTTAGCTCCTCTTTCACGTAGAAATGGATATCTTACTACACACTACGTCCCTTTTTATTTAGTCAAACATTATTTCTCAAGTCAACATTGTTCAACTTTGACGGACTATATATTTATACATGATAATATTGATAATATAAGAATTATACGAAAATGATCTTTGTTAAAAATACTATCATAAAAATATAAATTTATTAACTTTCACATAAATATATTAGTTAAAATAATGAATCAAAATTTATTATCTTTGACTAAATAAAAAGAGATTTAATACAGCGCTGGAAGAAGTGAATACTCCATATAAGATATGGAGTAAAAGACTACCCAAATACAAGTAGAAGTTGGTATAGATTTAGAAGTATGATTACTTGTTTCCGAAATATGACAATTGCGTAACAGAATACCACAAATATGACATAGAATATACTCTGATATGAGAGAAAGTACATCAAACAAAGAATACATATTCCCTCCTTTCTGAAAAGAAATTCCACTTTCAACTTTTTTTATAGTATTTGGTAAGTTTTTATCATCCATTTATCATTTTACCATCACGTTACTTCATTGAATTGATGTGTGTTATCTCCATTTCACTATTCATTACCCTCTTTATTATACTCATTTGGTTAGTACACTTTTTAATTACGTGATGACATTTTTGAAAAACCAAATTTATTTCTTGTTCTACCTAAAAATTCATGAAGTCAAACCTGAAACTTGTTTTCGGGACGGAGGGAGTAATATTTATTAATTAGTGTTTTAGTAAGTCGAATACGAAGTATTGAGAGTAATTCAATGTTACTCTGTATTACGTAGTAGCTGATTAGAGTACAAGACGTGTAACATTTCCTAAAAGAGAATAGCGGATAAACTAAAACTGAGCTACCAAACAAGAATAGATGACCGACACTTATGGATAAGAACAATGACGTGTAGCGTACTATATGGTGTTAGTAAAAGTATATACAAATGATTGGAATCATTAAAAATTTAGTCACGTGGAAAAGAGGTATTTTCCAGTTTACAAAAAAAATTGAAGAAAGGAAAAAGAAAAAAAAACGTGTTTACCAAATTATTTTCCAAAATGAAAAATTTGAGATCTCTCTGTTTTCTTTAATTTTTTAGAAAAGTGAATTTTATTAGTTTTTCAAATTTAAATTACGCGGATGATGCAATGTTACTGTAATGAACTTTCCAAACTAAGAAAAATGAGATATGTCTTCGTTTTCTTGAAATGAAGACTGTACTTTTGGTCTCCCGATCGATCTAAGAATTGGGTGAAAAAATTTGTTAAACATGTTTTGATATTTGAAAAGGTAAAACTAGAAAATGAAAACAGAAAATTTGAGAAAGAAAAGTTGAAAAATCAAAACAGAAAATTAGAGAATGAAAAACAAAAAAGAAAACCGAAAAATACATTTAATAGTAAACGGGCCCTTGGTGTTTTAATACATACTAGTATCTCCGTCCCTCTGGAGTGTTTGGAATTGATTATACTTCCGCTTCTATTTTTTTTTTTAAAAAGAAATAGAATCGAAATTAGTTTTTCAGAAGCTGATCTCACTCAACATCTTAAAATCTGCTTCTAGGAGCAATTTTGAACGCTCAGAAGCACTACATCACTTTTACCCAAGCACTCTATTATCTGTTTCTACTCCCTGAAGGAGCACAAACAGTCTTGAGAAGCAAATCCAAACACCATCTATTATTGATACAAGAGAAAATGATGTGTTTGCCAACAAAAGTATGTTTATGTAATTAATGTTGCATTGATAAAGTGAAAAAAAAAAAGTCAGAACGGTTTTGAATTACCCAAACATTATCAAATTTATTACGGAATATAAGATAATCATTTTGTATCCATTGAGCAAAAACGGGTTGATGGATAAAAAGAAAAGATACACAATCCTAGCAGGACAGAGGAGTAGTTCATTTTCCATCTCCCTTTAATTTTGGTAGCTTAGGACACTACGATAACTTGAATGTTTTTTTGCAAGAAATGAAATCAACTTTCATAAATCCAAGTCATAGTCCAAAGTAGAAACAATACAATCAGATGGATAGGAAAAGAAAACGTGGCAATCAGGTATAGAATGAGCTTCTCTAGCCAATTAACCTGCCACACCCATTCATGAAAAGAATCCATTCCATCACCACAGAAGCCCCAACCTTCTTGCACAACAATTCCCCTCCTCTTCAACAAAAAAAAAATATAATAAGGATGACACCCCAATCCCTGAGGGCCCCCCAACCGTGACATAACGGTACTTGCAGATAGAAAGAAGGTAAATTGGACTATAATCCCAATCTGACAGATAGAGAGTGTGGTTCTGTCCCCGGTACTTGCAGAGGCTCTATGCATTTTTAGCATAGTAATCCCTCATCGCATTTGTTGGTATTCGAACCTGGCACCTAACCCTTGTGGCACTCCATGCTACCAGTTGAGCTACGCCCACTCGTGAATTCCCCTTCTACTCGAAAGCACTGTCGTCGGCAAACATCCAATACACAACTGCCAAAAATGACTGTATTTTCAGAGGAAGCCGCAACTTCCACACCACCGTCCACACAACCAGGTTAGCTGGATTAACCTCCCCCTCTAGCCTCTTCACCGAATAGTTTCTGAAGGAGTCCCACCGCTAACTCAGTCTATCACGAACCTCCTTCCGGCTCAAGGGAATACTACAAATCATTGAAACATCCCTTTGGTTAAAAATACTCCATCTGTTTCTGAAACAAGTTCCACTTTACCTTTTCGGGCAGATTCAACATTAAATTCCACTTTCAAACATTTTCTTATTTGGCAAATTATCTACATCAAAACAGTGTCAAACAGTGTCAAACAGTGTTCAAACAGTGTTCAAACAGTGCACTCCACAGTAAAGTCAAATTTATTTTCTTAATATGTGTGAAGTCAAATGTGGAACTTGTTTCAGAAACGGAAGGAGTATCATTTAATACATCGTTATCCCACCCCCTGCTTGAAACCAGCCCATCTACAGTAGCATTTTCCAGACCTGGTGTACACACCGACTCGATCTTCGGGTGTAAATCATCCGACAACCATGATTGAGGCCATAGACTTCCTATCCCCACCCGCCAATTGTACCCTTCTTTCAAAATATTTTGTGTGTCAAACATACTTCTCTAGACAAATGAAGGATTGTGGCCGGTTTGAGCTATCAAAAAACTGCCCTTCGAATAGTATCTAGCTTTGAAAACTTGTTGAGAGCAGAAAAATAAAAATCAACGAAGTAAATCGTTGCCCAGATAATCAACAATAAAAATACCATTGCCCAGAACCAAAAGGCTAAAACCAATTTTATTCCAGATCCCGAATGAATCCTAACAAG